AAAATTACCCTAGCTCTGAGCCTCCAATGCCCCAGGTGTCCTTAGAAGAGAGGCTTTACGCCCCCTCCCAATTTGTACAGGGACGTTGATGGTTGTTCCCCTTAGTCAGGGAGCGAGGGGAAAGTGCACAGTTTGCAGCATTCCTCGATCTGTCTGGGGAGCATTGGGCAAATGAACCTGGACCTGCCCTAGCTGGGGGATATGCACTTCTCCTCCAGCTGTGCCTGCTGCAGTGGCCATGGAGAAGTGCTTCTCACATGCGCTTAAGCTGCTGCCATGAGAGGGCTAGGGCAGTCCTCTCTCCCCCAAGGGCCATCTACACACCTCAGAAGCCTGTCTTCCCTCCCGGGGTGGGTGTCTGTAGTCAGTTGGTGGTGGTGGTGGGGAAGAGAGAGTCACCTTATACTCTAGGTTCCAGCCCAAGGACCCTAGAGGTAGCAGCTTGTGGCAGTGTTTTCCCTTCACCATTGGAATAGCTACCATTCCCTGGGCCACTTTCCCATGGCTCCCTCATTCACAACATCTCCTCCATCCTTACCTCAGGGCTTCTTTCCCCCGTGTTTGCACTTCCCAGTTCTCTGGTGACACTTCCTCCAGTCAGGTGGGATGGAGCGACAGAGGGAAAGCTTTTCAACAGGATGTGGGTAGGGGGCTTGATTGGTTCCAGGTGTCTTGTAGCTGAACGAAATCTGATTCTTTGCAGGTTACTTGGAATCAGGCGTTCACATTAGCTTAGTAGTCTTAACTGATCCTTTGGCAGATTACTTGGCATCAAGTGTCCTGATTGGTCTGGAGTAGCCTTTGTTTTGTTATTCAGGGAACAGGGACCCGCTCATCCTGAGGCTTTGTTTCCCATCCATTACTCTTTTATATCCTTCTGGTCTGAGTCTGTCACAATAGGTATCCTTGTATGATAGAAAAGATGCAGAGAAACTATAAAGAATTGCTCTAGGTCACATAAGCTAATGATTGAATTTGAGGACTAATGTTTTAGTTACATATATGGACATAAGCATAAAGTTTCTGAGTATAAGGTCAAGAAAGTGACTGACATTAAAGCAGCTCCTAAATAAATCTGTTCTGAGCATATCAGAAACTGTACCACATCTGACAATAGGCATTCTGTCATGTCTAAGCCCTATACATTCATATTAATAAAATTTATGCTACTATCTGTAACAGCACCCTCTAATGTCTCCCAATAGGGTTACCTGTAAGAGAAATAGGGACATGACCCAGGACCCCCACTTTATAATTCCCTTCTCTGACCAACAAATCACAGTCCACCCCAAACACAGTAATGAATGGGGTGGGGATACTGTTCAATTGGTACACATTTCTTAAATGAGAAATGCTGCGCTCTCCTTTGCACCCAATCCTTGTTTGCATCTGCTGATATTAGATGGTAAGGTCATTGAGGCAAGGTTGAGTAAAGGTACTGTACAAGGTAATAGGCATTCTATTATGTTTCCCCTGTGTACAAAAAGAAGCCAAATGTTCTGAGAGATTGAATAGTATCTTCAGTGGCAACGATTACAAGAGCCACACATTTTAATTTTACCACCATTAGCATCCTAACATATTTCCCTTCATGACTGGGATCAATTTGCCATATAGCTGTCATAATAGTTAAAGTGCTGAATCGCTATAGAAAAATATATTTAAGTGGCAATGCAATTCTGTGAGCACTTGTACCCACAAAACCCACAACCGGTGTGAAACTCATTCTGTTCCATTCCATACTCTCAAAACCTGACTCTAATGTATTAACCACACTTAAATGTTTCTATAATTCACAGTACATGTTCCAAGACGTGTACAGACATAGGTGCCACAAAAAAGACACCGGGAACCCTGTTTCCCCAAAATTAAATGCTCCAGAGGCCCACATGTGAAACAGTCCCAAAACCACTGGATTTTGCATATGAAAGACTATACATAACAAGGGACTAATCATTTTAGCAGGTTAACTTTAGGGGTTCTCTATTCAGCCCAAGTTATCCACAGCCTTCTGAACTTTGAATGCAACAGCCAGATTATCTGGAGCAA